CAAGAGCACATGGCCTTGGCTAATACCCACACACCCCACGCCCCGCCCCTCACTGCAGTGTAATTTCCCCAGCAGCAGAGTGAAGGTAATCATGCCGCCTGCCTGACCTCCAGGGGACTGTTCAGAATACTAATGAGCCACATCCAGGAAGCCCTCCCTGCTCCAGGAAGGGCCTGGCATTAGGGTGCCCCTAAGTCGGCTTCTGACTGGCAGGGAAGATCCAGCTCCCCAAGTCAGGCTCTTAGCATTTGGGGGTCAGAGGCCCTTTGAGAATATGATTTTAAAAAAAAAGCTTTGAACTCATTTTCCCAGAAAAATGTATACATGTACTTACATGTATTTTTGTATAACCAGGAGTTGAGGGGACCATAGACACTTCTGGAAGCCCATCCTGGGTCCTGAGGTGAAGGACGCCTGCCCTAAATGATGACCAGCCCTTTTAGTCTTTGCGTCTGCAGTTTGTTGACCAGTGATCAAGCATACCCAAGTGCAGGTGTACCTAGAGGTTTGCTAGGGGAGGTCTGAGGTGAGGCGAGCAGTCGGGGTATAGGACACAATCTCTGTCTTCTGGCACTCCAGACCTAGTTTTGAAGGAAAGATAAACTCTGAGAAATAATACCTATAAAGGGGTGGCTTGAGGATTCAATGACATAGCCAGACGCTCGGCACTATGTATGGTCAGAGCAGTGTGCTGTGACATCAACAAGGCTTTCTGTAGGATAGGAACTGGGCCTTTAAACAGAGTGATCATATAATTTATCACCCAAACTGGGACATTTAAGAATGAAAGGAAGCACTCTTATTAATTATCCCAAAAGAAGAGATGTAGACTGGAGCTGTCCCACACAAACTGAGATGGATGGTGATGCAAGCCTTAAAGGAAGGGTGAATTTGAACAAAGAGTAAATTGGGCTGTGGAGGGTCATGGTGGGGTGTAAATGATGCCCAGAAGGAGTCTAGAGGATATAAGCAAGAGCTGAAGGCAGCACTCCTGTTAGGAGTTCAGAAGAGAAGAGCTCGGTCCTCGCCATGGCTCCGCTACGCACTACCTGGGGACTCTTGGACTAATTGGTCAACTTTTCTAGCATCAATTCATTATCTCCCAAGTGGACATAATCCGCTTAGCAAAGACTCCACTGGCTTGTCACAACCCCTATCCTCCCATAAAAATTTGTTTAAAGGATAATGCATAAGTTTCTTTGAACTTCAGGGCAACTACTTGAGATAACCACAACCAAGATTATTCTTCCCACTGTTCTGGTGGTAAAGTGGATGGAATAACCAGAATGTGGTCCACAGGGGCCTAGTCCACAGGCTTTGACTTCCCAACACCCAGTGAGCACTGGGAAGGAGAGGCTCAGAGAACAGATCACAGCCACACAGAGGTTAAAGAAGCCCTGGGTCCAGAGCAGCAACACTGCTTCCCCAGGGATTGGGGTGCAGGAGTCCTAAGGGTGAGAGGAACACTAACCAGCACTCTCTTGGCATCACACAGGAAAAGAAAAGTTATGCTTCAGCATCTCATGGGTGGTAGACTCTGAGCTGGCCCCCAATTGCATTTACAGGAAACCCACAGTTAAATCTCCATCTTTCACAGAGGGGCTGGCAGGTGCCAGGTTGGCGGCGGGAGTTCCAGAAGGCAGGAACTAAGGGGAAGCTCCAGGCCTCCACCAGTGTGACCTCAGTCACCCTGGGATGGGAGAGTGGGCAGATGAGCTTCAGAGGCTCAGCCCTGGGAGATAGGAGAGCATTTTCCAGATTTGCCCAAAGTGTATATTTTTGAGAAGCTTCATCCTCTGACTATGAGTCCAAACTGTCCACATAAATGGTTTGGAGCTGAGCCATTCTCTTGACCTTCCTTTGCTCTGCTATCATGGAAGGCTGGTTCTGGGAGGCTCCTTTCCCATGCTTTCACTCATTTCAGTGTGTGTAAGCCTTGGCTTCTCCAACTAGACAGTAAGAGCCTTCAGCTGCCCCAGGCCTCCCATGACTCTGTGAATCCTGAATCAGGAGCCATAAGCTCTGAGTCTCATAATGCTATTGATCAAATGGGCAAGGTAACATCTGCTCTTTCTACTCACTGGGTTTCTATGAACATCAGATAAGCAGCTTCTGGTGATGACACTGTGACATCTCAAGAGATCCTCTCATCACTAGAACTTTGCTGATGATTAATTTTATGGAAGCTGAAAAGGCATGTAAAGGTGACAGGGACAAAACCCTCATTTCTGCTGATGGAATCTCCTGCTCTGAGACAATATACCAGACCCAAAGCTTCAATGTTAAGGCTTATTTTTCATCCCTCTTACCCACTCTACACAACACTGTGGTTGTAATCATTGCCATCATCATCATCATTTAAATAATATATACTTTACATCCAATGTTTACATCCCAGTGTGCTAAGCATTTCACTTCTTTAAGGAGGAAAACAAGAAACAGGCTCCATGACTTGCTCACATCACATAATTAGGAATTAGCAGAGCATGGCCCAGGTAATGTCCCCCTGTGGGGGGGGTAGCACAGCAGGCGCGTAGAACACACTGCTTCGCACATTTCTGTGTTGCCCACATAGAGCCAAGCACAAGAGCATTGTCTGCTGTTTGAGAGGCCATTCGGTACCCTAAGTAAAGATACCAGAATATATCAGAAGCTCTGAATTTAAGCCTTCCTGATACTTAAATGGTGTTGTCCTGAGCAAATAACTTTATCTCCCAGAGGTTTGGTTTATCCCATGTAACTGAAGATAATAATGTCTAAACGACATACCCTAGGGGTTTCCTGTGAGTAGAGAAGAAGTAACAAGAATGAAATAAACACTTGGATGATGGTGGTGGTATTCAAAACACTATTGATAATAATTAATCTGGCCTTTCTTGAATCTTACCATGGGGCAAGCATTTATCGTAAAATATCTCATTTAATCCTTAAAACAACCTTAAGACATAATTAATTCTAATTGGTTCTATTAAGCAAATGATAAAACTGAGTCATAGAGACCTTACATAATTTTCCAGACTAATATGCCATAGTAATCATCGGTATGACACTAATGCCCATTTGGCTCATCAGTGACACTTCCTTCTGGGCTGCTCAGCCCACCATCCAGTCATCTGCACATGTGTCTACTCCAGCCCATTTTTCCAGATGAGCCACTTGAAGCAGTATTCAGCCTCTCTGTCTTCTTGAACCTGAATGAATGGGAGAACCAAAGATGGGCAAGAGACAACAGAGGTGCGAGGAAAGTGCAGCAGCCAGCAGGCTGGCGCGCGGCCTCCTCCTCCTCCCACTTGTAGGAGGAGCACACTCTGTTTTCTCTCTGTAAAGCAGAGCCGGCCTAGACTTCTTCAGAGTGAGGATTTCTGCAGATTTATCTGAGAGTGAAGGGCTTTGTTGAATAATTTGTGCCACGTTCTGGGACTGTCATTTTCTTCCCACTGAGAGTTCAAACCAGAAGGTGAAGAGAGGGTCAGCTTGTAGCAGTCTCTCTCTCCATCTCTGTCTCTTCCTCTGTCTCTCCATCTCTCCCCCTCCCCCTCTCCCTCTTCCTCTCTCTGTCTCTCTCCTCTCTCCCTGTCTCTCTGTCTCTGTCTCTCCATCTCTCTGTCTCTCTTTCCCTCTGTCTTTCCATCTGTCTCTCCCCCACTGTGTCTCTCTGTCTCTCTCTCTCCATCTCTCTCTCTCTGTCTCTCCACCTCTCCCCAACCCCCTTCTGTGTCTCTCCCCCTCTCCCTGTCTCTCTGTCTCCCTCTCTCTGTCTTTCTGTCTCTCAAATACACATATACTCATTGCAGCTATTCTGATACCTTTTGAAGACAGAGTTGTTGATCACTGTCAGAAAAAGATAGAATTCTGCAAGGCTTCTTGTTAAGCAATTTGACAGGGGTGAAGAAGTAAACAGCACCAGGTTACAGGGCCTGGTTCATATTGGTTACAGGCAGAGACTCACCTCACTGGCCTCAGACCACACTGAGCTGAGGACACACAGTAGGCTACCAATAGAGAATGAGGTTTCTTATACTTGAGCAGATATAAAGCCAGACTCATCCTTAATCTGAAGGTAGATGTGCGTGAGATGTATTACTCACACAAAGAGAAGTAGGCTTGGCACTAAAGGCCTTGGATCCCCCATGTTGACCATCTGACCTTGCCTTTGAACTTGAAGACCTGAGGCCATGAAAGTTTGATTTGACTCATTTGTGGAAGCCAATACAGCATGGTTGGGGTTCCAGTACAAATTGTTTTAACCAATCGTGAGCTGTTTAAAACCCTACATGTTCTGGTTTTAATGTAAGGGGTTCTCCTCAGATGCTTTAAAGTCTGCACAGCACTTTCACGTTTGCTGTGTCTGATATGGCAGATGGGGCAGGAATTTTGGAAACTGGAGGCTTAAGCAATGAATTTTACACAGTCACTTGGTTGCTCAGGGAGAGGATGGGGTCAAATTCATGTCTCCAGAGTACAGGTCTTTACATTCCCAGGTATTTTATACTCTGGCCTCACCAAGGAAGTAAGAAACCATATTCAAGCACAGCGCAAGGCATCATAAGGCCAACCCCTAGTCCTGGGTCAGGTCCTGGTTCGGGCCCTGTGTCGGGCCCTGGCTAACAGGAGCTGGCACAGCAGCCCTTGTCCTTTCCAGGCCTCCTTCCAAGGAGTGGTGCTACTCATGGTGGTGCTCATGATGGGGGATCACTGATTAGGGATGATACTGAGATTTACTAGGATCTACTTTGCTGCATTGTTTCTGTTTACCTAAGGCAATGGGTAGGAGAGATTTTCAGGATGAATTTCAGTTTAGTGGGAAAGAGAACTGTGCTCAAGGGATGACTGCTTTGGGCAACAATGTAGAGAGTTTGGTATTCACTCCATTCCAAGACCTCATCCCATGTAACATTCTTAGGTGCTGGATTATAACTTCAGTAGGAAAAGAAAACAAACAAACAACTATGAAGTACAATGTCTGAGTTCATTATTCAACACTTGGCTTTGCCTTCCAGGTACGGTTTGAAGGCTTGACAGGAAACGTGCAGTTTAATGAGAAAGGCCGCCCGACCAACTACACCCTCCATGTGATTGAAATGAAGCATGATGGCATCCGAAAGGTAAAGGACACCTTTTCTTCCATTCCATGGGGAGGAGAGGGCTGAGAGGAGGCTCAGGCCAGCATTAAAGGTCTTGTGAGCCCACCTTTCCTGGACTGTATCTCTTTGAAGAGACACAGGCAACTGAGAATTTTAGACTTACCTCTGCCACTAACCAGCTGGGACGTTGAGCAAATCAGTTCCTTTCTCTGAATATCAATTCACTCACTCATCTGCAAAATGCAAATCTCTACCTTTGTTCCAGGTGCTTGTGAAGATCCATGGGATGGGAAAATACTTAGAAAATATCACGTAATAGATGTGTATAAAATGTTACTGTTCACAGAGTCCTGAGGGATCTGAAGAACTTCAGAATAGTGACTGTTGATGAAGTCAACCATCTTCTAACCCACACTTGTTTATATCCACTCCCTTTTCCATACAGAAGTAGGAATGAAAAGTATACTAATATACAATATATACACATATTAAAATGTTTAGAATAACATTCAAATCTTTGGGAAAACATTCAGAATTCTAAAAGACCCTATGTTCTCTGGCCTGTCAATTTCTCTGACCTTGACCCTTGACACTCATTTCTTTCCTCTGCCCACTACAGTCCTTCCCTGGCCTCTCTTGTTATACCTCATAGCAGCCTCTATTTTTCTATCCATGGCCTTCATCACAGCCTTCTCTCAATGAGAAGACCAAATCATCTAATGTGTGTACTTCTAAGTACTGGCCTGATATGCTCAAAGTTGAGTCTTAATCTCTCAAAGTTAATGCTCTCTATGCCTGTGCTGTCAAATAGAGTTGGCATGCATAGCTATTTAAATTTAATGTTTTAATTAGTTAAAATTTAAAAGTCAGTCCCTCAGCTGCACTAGTCAAGTGTTAAGTGCTCAATAGCCACATGTGGCTACTGGCTACCATACTAGACAGCACAGATGTAGACCATTTCACCACAGAAAGTTCTATGGACAGCTCTGCTTATGCTCTATCTTCAACTCCCTTAATCCCATATCCTTATCTGGAGCCCTGCCCTCTACTTCAAAGTCGACCTCAACTCACCCCAATTCACTAAGGCTCTATTCATTTTCTATTACTGCTGTAACAAATGACCTCAACCAGTGGCTTAAAACACTACCACCTTCTCATCTGTAACTTTGTTCTGTGTGGCAGGAGTGACTCTGGTCTCACTGGGCTAAAATCAGGGTACTGTGGATTCTGGAGGCTCCAGGGGAGAATCTGTTTCTTTGCCTTTTCCAACTTCTTCTAGAGACCACCAGATCCTTTGGCTCACACTACCCTTCCTTATTTTCAAACCCAGCAATGGCCCAGAACCCATTTCCCACGCCCTACTGGGCACACTTCAGGAGTCAGTTACGGTAGGACGACAACCTGTCGTCACTCTCAGTGGGCACCATCTCTGGCTAGGAATACAGCCGCTGGAAGCACAGCCACTTCTCAGCAAACCCTTGGCATTGTGATTGCAGCAGGGCATCCTCCCTGGGGACAAAATCTACTGCAAGTGGTGCTCATCCAGGAAGAGTCCGAGTCCTAGTTAATTTCTTTTATCCCCAGTTCTCCCAACTCCTGCACTAGAGAAGACATCTGCTAAGTTACTTGCCCTTAGGATCCTCAGTTCCCACGCCTATGAAGTGGGGACATAGCACATATACAGCAGCTGCTGATCCTTGGTCAGTGAATGTTGCCTCTGGCATTGGCTAGTCACAGGTATGGTAAATGTCAAGGAGGTGGCATGTGACTGAGATGGCTTGTTTCTTCCTTTCAAAGCATTTTGTTCTTTAAGGTAGCTTTGAGGTAAATCAGCCTTAGGGGCACAGCTCCCCTTTGCTAGTAAGCTCAGGCATGGTGGCCCAGTAGGCTGCCTAAGTTCGCACAGTGAGCCATGGCTGATGGGGGCCTAATTTTGGGTCCTGACTCCCCAGTCACACTCATGTTCCTGCAGCTGCTGCTATAGCTGTGGGCATCAGAGTGACACAGTCATTTTCAGTGAGTGAGGGGATGGGGTGCTTGGAGAATTTTGCTGCCCTAGAGGGGACACCAGTCACACGGCTCAATCCCCAAGCTGTCCCCCTTTCCAGTGCTGAGAAGTGAGGCATCACCCCCGCCCTGTGGGTGGAATTGAATGTAGTTCTTCTGTGGGAGGCCTTGGCCAGGCAGGCCGGTTACTGCCACATAGAAAATTGCTGACCAGAGACCCGGGCTTTCCCTCAGATCCTCTGAACAATGGTCTTTTATGCTCAGGGTAAAAAACCCTGCTATTTCCTGGAGGAACAAATTGACATTTCTATATTATATATGGCAGTATCAAAATTTACTCAAAATTAAAATTGGATGTTGATCTCATTCTTTTCCCTCTAGGGGAAGGGGTGGTAATAAAGCCAGATTCTTTTCTTCACCTGAGCAGTAGGCTGGATATACTGGGGACATTGTGGTGACATAAGTAAGAACAGAAGTTAGGCTGCTACCCCAGCCCTCCCATTGCCCAGCTGGGGGTCCTCAGCTTCTCTCTTAGTCTCTCTGGTCTTTGAAATGAGGAGGTGCTGGGCTACAGAACCCCTCAGTCCTCACTGAGTGCCACTGCCCATGATGGTGCACCTGCCAGCCTCCCTCGCGTCATCCCTCTCCTGGCTGGGCTGGAGCTTCCTCAAGTGGAGGTGGGTTAGGGGCCTTCACCAGATGACTGACTGGCCTTTGGTGTGACTGTCTCCAGGTACTCATCATGGAACCAGGATCCCAGCCCTGTGAGCTGACCATAGGCCTTACCCACTGACTATCGGGAGCCTCCACAACTCCTCAAGACTTGCACTTGTCCCCAGGAACAGAGGCACGGTAGCAAGATCAGTGATCAAACTTCAGCAAACAGAATTAACCTTGTTAAAAATACGGATTCCTGGGTCTCAGCAGCTGGACTGCCTGTTTTTAGAGAACAGAGATGAGGCTGAGGAGTCTGCAGAGCTGAAAAACCTCTTCCCTCGGTGGTGGAGTTCATGGTGCTCTAAGTGGTTTGGCGAGAAACACTGGCAGAGTTGTTATGAGCTTGGACTTTGGAGGCAGACAGGCCATGATTTACATCTCTACTTTATGCTTTACCAGGCACAAGACCTTGAACAAGTGATTTAGCTTCTCTGGGCATTAGTCACATCCTCTCCGAAAGAGGGACAATGCCTCTTACCTCACAGGGTTGCTGCCAGCATTAAATGAAACAATGCCTCCTGCCCCCACTGATGGTAGCAGGGAATTCAGAAAAGTAGTGCCTAGCATGCAGTGGATATTCTGCAGGTGTTTTGTTTCTTTCTTAAAATGCCCTTCTTTAGACCTCAGGGATTTTTATGTCAGCCTCGAGTTTGAGTAAGCCAGGCTGTGCAAGCCAAGAGAATGGATAAATCAGCAAACAGAAAGGACAGAGTAACCTTAAAATCCACAAGCAAATCATCATTCTTTATTTTTCAGATTCCAAGGCTATTTTTTAAGTTACCTTCCAATGACTAAATCCTTTCTCAGAATGTGGGCTTAAGCATCATTTGTTTACAGGGAATCTGACTTTCAGAAAACCAATTCTTCACATATGTGGCTTTAGGCTTTTTACTCAGTCAGTCTCCCAGCAAAGTGATTTCTCAGATCCAAGGGTGACCTAGTTGTGTGGGTTTCAGTGAACATTACGTAGTCTTACCTGACATATGTAATAAAGAGGAGCTGCTGCTTCTTGATCTGGGACCTCGGGGACATTCTCCTGATTGTCAGGCCTCTGCCCTGGTCACTGCTATGCCAGGATACCCTCTAGGTATCTGGGCCCAATTTGGCATCTCACTGAAATGTGTGTGCTCTAAGGATCCATCTGTCATACATTTAGGAATTTCAAATGCCAGAATTGGTACTGGCTGTACTAAAGCTGAAGCCTCAGGAAATCTTGTTCAGAGATTCCACTTCACCATAGGGTGCTGATTTAGAGATCTCTATCTGAATAAAATACTTTGTCAAAGTCAGCGAGGCTCACAGGTTCTGTCTGATAAATGGCTGCCAGGGGAGAAGTGTAAGGGACATCGCCAAAGCCTTCCTTCAGGGGGCCAGTATTACAGATTTAACCATCTTTACCTATCACCACAGGGCCTGTGGCTAGTTTCAGACCTGACTACAGGAATCTGCTTCTCATTTCAACTTGGCTTGAGGGCCCCTGCCCTGCCCCGAGTTTGTCACCCCAGCTCGGACCCTGTGTGTGACTGGGAAGGAGAAAAGACTGAAGTGATGCAAGTCCTACTGGTGCCAAAAGATGTCTAGAGTCCCAAAGTGTTACCAGCCTTTCTGTGTCCTTTGCAAGCTTTTTTTAAATCCTTGCTATTCAACTTTAGGCTTAACAAATCTTCTTAAAACTCTTAAAAGACAGCTTCAATCCAACCACTTCTTTCCATCTCCCCTGCTGACCCCAGGGCCCATCACCTTCACCCCTGCCTGGCCTCATTTAGGAGCCTCCTGACCAGTCTCTAGTCCTGCTGGCCATGCTCTCTGCCTTCCACAAGGCCATTTCTACCATGAGAACTGAGATGATGATTTTCAAATATACACCAGTTTATATTGCTCCTGTGCTTAAAACTTCCTATCCCAGATAAAATGTAATATGACCCCTTACCCTGGCCTTCAGAACCCCAGATGCTGCTTCCCTCTGACATCAGCTCATGCTCCTTTCTCTCTAGTTCATTACTCCACAGCTCTCCCTGCATCTTTCTGTTCCTCTACCTGGCACTCTCTGTCACATGCTGTGTCACTTCTTGCCATTTTGGAGAGGCTTCCACTGACCAAGCTATCTAAAGTACCCCCCACCCAGACCTGGCACAGTCCCATGACCCCATTCTATTTTTTTTATAGTGTTTATCCCTTCTGATACAGTCTTGTTGGTTTATTGACCTAGAACGGTTGGGCCAACTTCAGCCTGCAGGCAAACTCAGCCCACTGCCTATTTTTACACAGCCTATAAGCTAATGCTTTTTACATTTTTA